TATTAACTTTTGTTTCTCACTTTATTTAGGATTTGAGCTTCTCCTCTGAGAGAAACCTTTGTCCTGCTTCTCCATCCAATAATGCAGGACATGAGAGTATAGTTTAAAATGTTACCCAAAGATCATTTCTGGTTTTGACATAAAGGCATTTCACATTTCTCAGGTAAAGAGACCATGGAGAAAATTAGTCACTAGTTGATCGTAATGTGGAAGAAAATTGCTCGGTATACAAAAGCTACTTAGGAATAGAGAGAAAACCTTATTAATGAAATGTCACAAAATATCACAGTTCATTAGTCCTTACTTCTGATGCCTATTGAATTAACTATAGACTTAAATGAATGTTTCTTTCACATGCATATTTTAAAATATCAAAATTCTTAATCATTAAATTCACTAAATGCAGTTAACACTTATTTAAAGAGTAATTTTAATATCTCAAAGCTCCTTACTTTAAGATTACAATGTGCAAACTATCTAAATTCAACTGAATTTATTATTATGGAGCAGCTTTAAGCTTTATTTTAATTCTTGGATTACTGAACTCAAGAATCTATTTGGCAACCTGTTTATGTGTTATGTATGTTGTAATTAAAGCTGTAAATGTATTCATAAGCACATTTATAAAAAATTATAATGTCGTGTGTTTAGAATCTTTGATTGTGGTAACCTTAAAGTTTCAAGAAGAATAAAAATGTTTGAAAGTACCATTTGTCTATATCTTCTTCTTATCTTCATTTTCTGTATAGAATTTAAGTAAGGACTGTGTGGATTGAAAATACCTGGATTTTTCTTATTGCTCAAACTTTCAGTTGGGAGAAAAAAAAATTGTTTTGTTCTTTATTTAACTCTTAGAATTGTGAAATTGACATTAAAACTAAATAAAACAATGGAACATGCATTTTAAAACATAAATGTCCGATGACATCAATGCCATTTTCTTGGTTTTCCTCAGAAATGCTAAGAGAAAAATAACTTATGGAATCTTTCCTTTCTATTTCTGTAATATTCTGTGTGTCAAAGTCATCTGAAATGTAATCAAATAATCAATAAATATTCCTCTGGCTATAAGACTGAAATATAATACTAACTTGTAATTTATTTTGAAATATACAAGAGTATTATTTTTATTTTAATTTACATTATAGAATTATGTCACGGATAATATTTCCATGAGGATCTCTCTGTATCTATTTTTCATAATTATTTTCTCACATATACCCCCAGGGACCATCTTGCTTATAAGGATTATTATAATTATAACCATCTTACTTATAAATACTATATATAAAAGACTTAATCCATGTCTTTTCCTCCTCAAATTCCATGTAAATAAGCACGCACATATAACTACAAAGTTCAATAGTTGCTTATCTAACTCAAGGTTTAAGGGTCTTGGGTGTAGCTCAGGGATCAAGTTCTTCTTTCTCATTGTGAGGCCCTGTGTCTGATGCCCAGCACTTCATATAAAAAGGGAAAAATGATTGAAGAGAAAAATAATGGGCAGGGGAGGGGAAATATAAAGCACTAGTTTGCTAGGCCAACAGTCCCTACAGCTCTATTGATCCTGGGAAATAAAAAAGCAAAGATTTTTTGTATGATTTTGGATACCCGATTTCAAGGCAGAAAAACAGAGCTAAAAAAAAAAAAAGAATAATTGCATTTCTCACTCTGGGAATTTCACTCAAAGTTAAATGAAAATATCAGGAAGTTTGCAAGAAGGTGAAAATGGAAAGATTAAGAAATATTTAAGTATCTAAATTCAATGTACAGTTTGTGCCAGTTTAACGAAAAGAGAAAAAAAAAAGTAGGATTGGTTGATTCTTGTTTTAAATCTGATTTTCACACATTGCATAAATGAGGAAATTTATATTTTAATTACTTTGTCAGAAACAAAGTCCCATAGAAAGAGACACTCAAAACTGCGAAGCAACACGGGGACACAGGAAAGAGAAAAATATATCCCATTGAAATTTAACACATGGGCCAGGGCGGTATCTCAGTAGAATAGGTGCTTGTCTGGCAAGCACAAGGTCCTGAATTCAAGTCCTGGTGAGAGAGAGAGAGAGAGAGAGAGAGAGAGAGAGAGAGAGAGAGAGAGAGAGAGAGAGAAGAAATTTAACACAAACAAGAGAGGGAGTGGTGAGTCAATTTGGTGACTGAGACAGAGAGGGAGCAGGAGTTGGGGAGCTACTGGGAAAGTCTGCATGGGGCACCCAGGGCTTTGCGTGAGCTCACATCCCACAGCCCCACAGCACTAGTGGGAAGCACATGCACTTCCCTAGGAGGAAGGACTCTGTAGTCTACCACATATCAACACAGAAACTAAATGATTGAGGGTTATAATCCTAATGACTGTTTAGTGACTAAAGAGCAACGTCTGTTTGTGCATTCCACTGACCAATGTAAATGTTTCCTGAGATGCAAAATTTTTCTGAAAAGATCTTGTCCAGCCCTAAGTTTATTTCTCTTGAAATAATCAGCATACTATATAAGAAAAGGGGTCAAGAGAAAGGTGGAAAAAAGAAAAGGACTGAATAAAATATTCTCCAAAGAGCAAATTTGGGACCAGGGATGTAGCCTGGCAGCACAGGGGATGTCTGGCAAGCATGCGGCCCTGAGTTCGATTCTCAGTATCAAAAGGAAAAAAAGAACAGATTTTATATTTCACTTAGTAAAAAGACAATAGGTATAAAAAGAAGATTTGAAGTATTTTTAGTATATCAACAGATATACCAATATTATAAAAAGAAAAAAATTCTATTTCTTCAGTATGCCAGGAGACGTGTTAATGGTCTAGTACAAAATCAAATCTTTTAAGCCTCTTTCATATTATACAAGATAGAAAGCCTAGCTCCTTCTAGCTTTGCCAGCCATAGACCTGAACAATAACCTCATTGAACTTGAATTTTAGAATCAAAAACAATGAAATAATAGTATTTCGTGCCCTGGGAGTGTTTCGGGAGTGAGTCAGCTCTCGGTTGATGCTCAGTGTACGCTGCGTTATGCACTCCATCAACAAATTATTATTGATCAGCATTTGGCTATCTGATGGGATCAAAAATTAAAAGTACATCATGCGCCCACCCTTGAGAAGTTCACCAGTGGTAAGAAAGGAAGAAAGAA